ATCGATGAAAAGTTGCAATTGTGAGAGTAGCTTTAGCGGCGCGTAGAAAGGCGCAGGCTTCGAATCGATCCTCCACCCCCAAAGTATCCAAAGAACAACCGCCGGCCGACGACTCTCTTGTCAACCCAACAACAGTTCAAAAGCTCCGAAAGCAAACATGGCGCTGGATTTCGCAGCCACTTACAAGGTTCTGGTGTTGGGTGACTCGAACGTTGGGAAAACTTGTATCGTGCACCGTTATTGTGACGAACGTTACTACGATACTTACATATCAACGATAGGTGAGACGCATCGTCGAAATCCTCGAATATTGCGTTTCATATTCGATACATTGACAGTTAAAAATTAATAAACTGATGGATCGTTGTAAATAATTGTTTACAATGTTTTTATTGAATAATCGCTATTGATTAAGTCGCGTTGATATAATTGACGATAACATTCGTCGAAAATTGAAATAATTTTAATTAAAAAAAAAAGGATCGTGACAAATTATACAATTGATGTTATTTCGATCCTTCAACTATAACTTGTTGACAAGCATATATTATTATTGTTGTTTTAGATACAATCTTATTACCGAAAATTACTATTGTATTCACTGATTACATTCACTAAATGTATATCTTTGTTATACGAAAGTCTGATGATGTTTTGTTTCATGATATTCTTTTTTCCTATCAAATTTTATGTTCTGTCAAAAACGCAATACTAATTCATGTACATGTATATGTATACTTGAATATAAAACAAGAAGTTACAAATGAAGTAATTTTAATTGAAAAAAATTATTACCATATGGTGATGTTTTAAAGAAATATATGTTTAACGTCATCGATCAGCTGATTGCAAGGAAATTTTCTCTCGATAGAAATCTTAAATATAATTTCAATAATATTCGTTATTTATACAATAGAATTAAATTTATTGAATTGTTAAAATATGTAATATTAAATTTTTAAAGTTTATTCTTTTTATTTCTATTGTTATTAACGCAAAATTTTAGGAATTTTCTTCTTATCGTTACGTTATACGTAAATAGTTTTATATACGTAATGTTTAATTAATAAACGTTACATATTTATTAAAAAAAAAGTCTTGTTTTGTTTTAAAAATAATGAATCAACAGGTATCGATTTCAAACAAAAAATAATTAATCTGGATGGAACACCAATTAAGCTTCAAATTTGGTGAGTTTTGTATTTTTATATATTTCATTTATTATAAATATGAAATAGAATTACGTGTAAATATTTATATTTTTATGTAATTATAAATATATAAGATATTTTAAAATAATCTAATTTTCTGCAATCGATTTAATGCAATCGATTTTAATTTAGATTTTAACTTTGAATTAGTTTAGATCATAAATAAATAAATTAGATCATAAATTAGATCATAAATAGATAAATTTATGGATTTATGATTTCATTATATTTTCAATTCTTTTTACAAATATTAAATTCTTATACATCAAATTGTTTTCAATCTAAACATTTGCATTTTCATATTCTGTAAATAAAATACAAGTTTCTGTGTTAACAACTTTATTATAAAATGAAAGTCTATATATCAGTAATTATTATGAATAATTATTAGCTATGGTATTACATATTAACGTGAAAATATTCTATTCACTATAGGTATAGTTAGAATATTTAAATATTTAAAAAATCCATTAATAAAAATAAATAAAATTCTATTATTTTACAAAGTAATTAAATGTTATTAATGCAAGTATTTCTATTTAAATACTCACAATTTTCCAATATACGTAGTTATCTCTTTAAAATATCTAGCATGATGATAAATATGGAAATAGTACTACAATCGATTTTGCAAATCGGAGAAATGGAAAAAAAATCGAACAAGTTGTTTTCAATATATATTTCTATCTATCTTCTATCTATATATTATCTACATATTTTGTAATATGAATGCATTAATATCTAATTATTTAATATGAATCAAAAATATTTATTTCCAAGGATTACAAATTCAAACGGTATAATTAATTGGTGATATATTGATACAAATATATCAAATACTATCAAATACACATATATCAAATACTAAATTATCAAGTATACTATACTTGATAACATAATATTAATAATAATAATGATGATAATTTACTGCAAAATACAATCATTGCATATATTAACTGTTAATATATAATTAATTGTTACTATTATTAATATATTATCGACTTCTTAAGGGACACTGCTGGTCAAGAGCGATTTAGAGCGCTAACAACAGCTTATTATCGTGGTGCTATGGGTATCCTTCTGATGTACGACGTCACTAGTTTAGAAAGTTTCAATCATTTATCCTACTGGCTACGAAATATTCAAGAAGTAAGAATACGAGATAATATTTCGTTTAATAAATTTATTAAATATAAATTCCATAAAAATAAAGAAATGAAAGCGTAAATTCCTGAATTTCGATTGAACAAAAATTCTTTGTTCTTTTTTTCTTTGTAGAATGCCTCTCCGGATGTCGTGAAAGTAGTGGCGGCAAACAAATGTGACGTTACTACAAATAGGGCTGTTGATGCGGAAAGGGGGCAGAAAATAGCTGAAAGTTTTGACATGCCTTTCTTCGAAGTATCTTGTAAAGAGAACATAAATATTGAAGAAGCTTTTCTCACTTTAGCTAGAAGAATACGAGAACAGCGAGGACGCCGGGTATCGTTATCTTTCTTAAATACATATATCTCTTATCGTACATGCAAAATGTATTCGATTGTAATTTTTAAAACGAATTAACGTGTTTTACGTCGTGTGGTTTATCGATGATTCATAAAAAATGATTAGAAATTCTTATCTCGTCGAATAAATATTAAGAAACATTATTTGTTGTTTAAATGACAAACAATTTTTTTCTATACACGTAACCACTCTTCAATTCTAATGTTCGAGATATCAAAAAAATATTTTTTAAACTGTATATCGTACTTCGAAGTTTCTAAATACTAAAAAAAATGAATAGTAAATAAATTTTTAAAACTGAATTTCTATATTTAATATAAACGATAAAAAAAATTAATGATTAATTCATAAAAATTTATCAATATGATCGAATGTTTATTGATTATAAAAACAAAATTAAATTAAATTAACTTAAATTAACTTTTTTGCTTGATTTTTTGATGCATATATATTGTTAAAATAAATGCAATTTTTGATTTCAGGCTAGTTTGTTCGATGCTTCAGAAAGGGAAGGAGCCAATAATATTGTTATGAAGCAATCACCATCTCACGTCTCAGTCTCAGTCTCTGTTACCCCCGGTGAATCTTGGAGATGCACAAATGCATGTTAGTTTCTATAATTATGAGAATTAAGACGATGCTTCGACTATTAGTAAATACGAAGTATTCATTGCGGACAGGATTTTATCTTTCGTGATTGCGCACAAGAAAAAATAAGTAAGGAGAAAAGTGCGTCATTTCTATATGTAAATATGGGGTAAACTCTGGTAAGTCGATGATAATTTTAGGATTTTTCTAACAATTGTTAATAGCCGAATAATAGATTAACAAATATTTATTAAGTATATTTAATTTTAAAAAATATAATATTAAATTATATTTCTGAATTATCATATCATTTATTATATTATTATTATATTATTATATAATATTATTATATATTCTATATATTATATAGATATTATTATTAAGTTATAAACTTATATTTATATTGCTATATATTTATATTATTATTAATTGTTTTGAAGAATGACTTGGATATCCATCGTAGAACTAATTTTAATATTTAACATTTCTAGTATAGACAATGAATGTCACATAAATTACATTCAATTCATTTAAATCATTTTTTCTTTTATATCTTTATAATATTTATATTTATATGTATATATGAGCTTTTTTTATATGAACTGTTCTTCGATCTATTTTATTTTTCCCTTAAATTTTTTTGGAATAGATATTTAAAAAATTATTTCAAGAAATAAAGAAATTTCGTTCAATGATTAATAATTTTGTAATAATTAGATATTTAATTATTACAAGTGAGCAAATTCTAACACGAAAACTATTATTATTAATTATTGAAGTGTTATAAACAGAAATATTAATAATTTGTGTTTTTTCCTAATAAAATAATTTAAACATCAACAGAACTTATATTAATTTAAATTAATATTAAATAATATATTAAGTTAAATTAATTATTTTCATTTTAATTTATTTGAAAATTACATCGAGACTGAATGAAGTGATCGAAAGACATATTTATAGCATATGATAATTAACGATCACTAATTAAATGCTTCAGATAATAAAAAAATTAGTTACTATGTATATAAAACGATTTTTAAATTTTAACTTCGTATCAGAGATAAATGAAAAAGTATCGTAAACTAAGCAGAGTTTACCCTATAATGCGAACGAATTTGTGAAGTATTATAAATGGCATCTAGGAGAAACAAGGGTAGAAAAATAGATATTACGTGTGTACGTCTATGATATAACTATCTAAAATGACACTCATCACGAATATTCTAAGAAACATTGCAAATATTGTCGTGAATTTTGCACCTTCGTTCTCTCTAATGATTTTCAATCGACGAACAACTGATACAATTCATTGGACGTAATTCTACCACGTTTGCGTGTCAATGTACGATTATTACACGAGCATTATTACAAGTAGAGCAATGCAAATCGTATATACATAACAACAGCACAATTATATTATATATGCTAAGCATTATTGCTGAAAAGAGAGACTTGTACTTTACATAAACGTATGCTCTGACGTTTTGACAATTTCAATGTGATGTATTAACAAGCTGAAATTTCATTTTTAACGTTAATCGAAACAGTTACTTAAATTATCTTTAATATTATACGATAGATGTCTATTTACAATTGCAATGAAGCAATGAAGTAATTTCGAGTTATACTATTTGCACATACACACGATCAACACCTGACGTGATTCATTATTGTAAATCGTCGGGAATAACTTGAAAGTGATAAATATTGAAATTACTGTATGACTGTTTAGATAAAAAGAAAATAATATTCTGGCGATATTCCATGGGTCATTAACGTTCCTTACGTGGAAAAGAAACGTGAAAAACTTCAAATAAGCTTTGTAATAATTATTAATAATATGGAAATTAAAGAGGCTGAAGCACATTAATAAATTTACGATAGATGTATAACGTTCGTAACCAGCGAAATATGGTGCAAGAAACATTTTATAAAATTTTAAACTCGATCGTATTATAAAATATATCATGTTACAATTTGCTTGTTAGCAATAATTTTGCACACAATTTTTACTCGTAAATTTCACTTAAATTAATCACTGATCCTTCAAAAAATCGTTATTTCGAAGTTCAAGCATGTTTTTCATGGCAATGAAAATATATAAATAGCCAATTAAGTTCAATGCGGAAAAAACATAGACAAAAATTTATTTAATTTTATGTTTATAATTATTTTACATTAATTTACATAAATACATATACGCAGCGATCGAATAACACGAGCAGTACAAACATTTAGATAAACTCACTTAATGTTCATATAAGGCCTAAAAAAAACAGATATTGATGTTGATATACAACATTTTTCTGTTGCTTTAAATATATAATCTCATTCACATGAGAAGCATTTAAGCGCAATCATATTTGCTATTATATTTACGGTATACGTGCAAGAAGATAAAGAAGATTACCAACTATTAACGGAGGACCATCGCTTTTCCACTATCGGAGAAGCATGCGTGCATTTTAACTGCATTGAGATTTCTTGATATACAGATATAATGTAGCCTTTATTATATAATTAATTTAATTCATTATAGTGATGAGCAATGTTTAATACGATTAAGATTAAAATATTTGATTATTGCAATTAAAGAAAATTTAATCCAATCAATATATAATTACTATTATAATTAAATTATTATTAAGCATTTAATTTAAATAATAATTGCATAATGCCAATTTAAATAATAATTAATTAATAAAATTCTCTTTATCATAAAATTACTTTGAATCTAATATCAGATTTAAAATAAATTTAATTAAAAAAAAGAAATTATTAAATCGATTGAATGATTTGGAATGTACCAAATGTAAAATGAATATTTATTAATTATTATAATTATCGAAATTAACGACGTTTGTTTCTACGATTGATTAAACATTTGCACAAAATATTAATACAAAGTTTTCAAAATTTATCTATACGTCAATGAAATCACATGCAAAATCACGCAATATCAATTTTTGATTAATGCGCTTTGATAATCATTATGGACACACCTGATGGATTTGATTATAGAATTAATAATTAAAATAATATATGAAAAGATACCAAGAAGTCAGGTGTATCATCGCTTCATTCGAACATGCGAATGCATTTTTGATCGTAGTTGATCGTTTTTGTTCGCATGCAGACAATGATGAGAAGGAATAATGCTGGATAATATTAAATACAATTCGTTTGAGACCAGAATTGTATTATTATGCGATATAGTGAAGATATTCATATATACAAATAATAGAATTATATAATATATTTTAGAGTGATGCATTGATTCATTACTAATCACTGACTGCAAGTATCGCACAATACTTCTGTAGTTAAATAGATATACGGTCATTGCTTGATGTAAGACCAATATATTCCTCCTCTTCGTTTATGCTGACAAGAACGAAATAAAGCCTTCATTATAATCATCAACGATTAAAGGAAGAGAGAATAAAATAAAGAAATTATGAGAGAAAAGGAATGTAGCAAGAGATAGAAAAAAATGAAAATTTAAGATTAATTGTAAGTACGTTATTTTATGGATAAATAATCGAAAGAAATAACGATTGTCACAAATTTCTAAATTAATGAGAAATTTGTCATGTATGTCAAAATTAATTTTCCTTATTGCATAAGCGATCAAGAATGTAAAGGAATTCTCATTATACATTATCGTTAAATTCGATCATGGACGAACGGATGATTAAATGGTTCGGCTGTGTTTCATTTGTTCGATCTTTTGTAGAATATTGTTTTATTATTCTTAAAAAAATCTGTTTTAATCAATCAAAAATTGTTACTTTTGTTATCCTCAAATTTTAATCATTAAGATAAAATTTTCATTTTCTCCTTAAAAATTATTTTATTAATCTCTTTTTTCTTAAATTTTTTTATGTTTCAATCTACTAAATTGATGTTATAATATTTTATTTCAACGCAGAATTTTAATTTAATTTCTATTTTGACAAAAAACATTCAATTATGTGCCTTTGTTTAAAACTTAATGCAAAGAAACAATGCACACACTGAAGAATTTGAAAGATTCATATTTCTAAAGCTACAATGTACATGAATATATGTATAATATAGGAAATCATATAAGAAATCATATGTTTACATTAATATTCATGATGATAAATTGTTCATAATTCTCAAAATTGATGCTATATTTAAATAAGTTATATAAGAATTGAATTTTTTATGATAATTTGAAAAATATCATAAGAAACTATATATATATTCTTTTTTTAAATATCTTATAATATCAATATATCTTATAAAAAAAAAAAATAAAGAGAAACTCACACAATTAGATAATAAAATATATCTATCTTACAAGATTTCTTTCAAGTTTTTAATTTTTAATGTTTGTCATTTTAATTAATTTTCTTTTCATTTTGTTTTTATATATTAAAAATGATAAAGAAGAATATAAAGAAATTGATAATATATATACTTATATATAAACATCACAAAACATGATATTTGATTATTTTTATATATTTGATTATATATTTGATTTTTTGTAAGTATCTTAGTTAATATATTAAAAGTTAACTTGGCTAATGAAAATTGGTTGAAACAAAAATATTTTATTTTTTGCATAAAATAAATTCATAGATTTAAAGAATCATAATAATCTATTATCAAAAGAAATTGTCAGATAAAAATTAACCTATACATACGATATATAAACGCAAAATTAATAAATTACATTTTCTTGCAAATCTTAGATTCAATTTGTAATATAATGTTGCAATTTTAAATTGATAATAATATTATAATATTATTGTATTGAGCACATACATATTTTTAATGCAATTTGCATCTATTGCAAATTTGCATGGAATGTATTATTGAAAATGTTAGATTGTTAAATATAAAATATATGATTATATGATTATTGAGAATTTATATGAGAATTAATAGTATTTATCAATATTAATAATATTCATTGAATTGTACGATATAAAGTCACAATGATGACATTTCACTTATATGGACTTTTACGTTTGATTCATTTTTAATTATATTTCGTTTATACTGCAAATATTTAATATTTAATAAACCGCGTAAATTTTATTCATACATTTTTTAATTTTTAAAATTGATTTAATCAATTTTATAATAAGATATTTAGTCAATTATTTACAATTCTCATACGATAGTGATAATAACACAATCTTTATTTAAATCTTATCAAACTCAAGGTAATGTAAACTACGATTATATATATATAATACATATATAGTCATAGGATTCATATAATGATTTTTTTTTACATAATATGTTAAAAAATATAATAAAAAAATAATAAATATAATAAATATAATTTAATTATAAAATTAACAGCTTTTCTTATCATTGCACATACATATTATATATTAAGAATATAAGAATATTCCACATATTTTGTTTGAACAATTTGATCGATATAAATATACATACAGCTATAAATATACATTTTGAGTTTATAATATCTGTTCAATTTGATGTTTAATTAAGCTATAAATAAAATATATACTTTTTATTAATAATAATATATTTTCTCAATTATCATTATCAAATATTATATTTAATATTTTATTATAATATTAATTATTAAAAAATTTAATTGAAATCAGATTTTTATGTGATATATCAAATAATATTACTACGAAATGTTTTATAAATTGACCTCATTAAGAATCGCTCAAAACGTTAGATATACAGAAAACTTTGTATGCTCTGCGCATATTCGATACGTGAGAGTCTTTATTATAGGAGGTACTCGATAAGTATGAATCAACCGCTTGAAATTAAACAATAAGTCATAACTAGAAGAACGTTTTTCTTAAAATATATATAAATGTTTGATACTAACTGTGATAACGGTAGGTAACCTACATCTTTCAAAACTATGTATATATTTAAATCAATGATAATTACATATAAAATAATAATCATAATTCAATTAATAATGTCTTTTGTGAATTATCAACGTATTCGTATAATCTTGAATATCTCATAAAATAATATTCATTGACGAACTTCACATATATATAGTAAAAATGAATCATGAATTGTTTGGCGCGTTCTTTGAGTCAGCGATAGGTTAGCATGCGCACCTTACACACAAATTGCATCTTGAAGTTCACTTGAGCTTGGAGTCCAAAATGGCCGCGATGACAGATATATTGAGCTGTTAACCGAATATGGGATACGCCTAAATTTTCAGTTTACAACGTCATATTTCTTAGATATTATAATAAAATGAGTATAATAAGTACGTGTAGTGACATGAAAGGTGGAGGATGTATGAGGAACAAATGACTTTTACAAACGCGCAATTTGTCTTAACTCATACGTATGTTACATTCTGTGTTCAATCTGTTTTTTCGCGGAGAATAATTTGTTCGTTTATAATACGAACTCGCTACAAGGAAAACGATTAAAAATTTTATTCTGAATTGCTCATGTAAATAAATTAATCTATCAAATTTTTATTCGAGAAAAGTGACTTTATTTAAAATCTTCGTGTTGTCATTTATTCATCATTTACGTGCTCAATTTATACATAACATATAAATTATAATTATTTTAAATGTTTCTAATATAAATTGTATATTTTTTACAGATATAAGGTTGTGATATTCATGTGTTAAAAAGTTACTGTTAATATAAAAATATGGAGGCAATTGTAGAATATAACTATGAAGCACAAGAACCTGATGAATTAACTTTGAAAAAGGGAGATATTATTACAGAAATTAAAGTGATGTTAGGTGGTTGGTGGGAAGGCACTTTAAGAGATAAACGTGGCATGTTTCCTGATAACTTTGTCAAAGTATGTAATTTTTTATGTATTTAATTTTCTTTTAATATTTATAATATTATAATTATGCTATCAATATAATACATAAAAAATAAAATTTATTTAAATATTCAGTATAAAACAAATATTTATATAAATTATATATATTAAATAATAGTTATATTCAAATATAGGTATTAGAACCTATTTCAAGTGGAACAGTTGGAAGTACAGGAAGTGGAATAAATGAAGGAGCTGCTAATGCCAAATCTGAAGATATTTCCTTAAAAAATGGAGGATCTAGAAGACGATTTTGTAAAGTTCTTTTTAGTTATGAACCTTGTAATAAAGATGAATTAACTTTAGTACCACAAGATTCTATAGAATTTTTGGGTGAAATAGAAGAGGGATGGTGGAGAGGTAGGCTTAAAGGTAGAGTGGGTGTCTTTCCTTCAAATTTTGTATCTCCTCCAGTTTATGAAGAATCTGACAAACACAAAGATCAAGAGAGTAGAAAATTGTGCAAAGTACTTTTTCCTTATGAAGCTGTTAATGTAGATGAATTAACATTAAATGAAGGAGATATAATAACTCTTCTATCTACAAATGCCTCTGATAAGGTACGATTATTTAAATACAATTTATATGCATTTGTTATGAATTAAGTTAAAAAAATATGAATATATTTATGTCATAAATATGAAATTATTTGTAGGGTTGGTGGGTAGGAGAATTAAATGGTCAAGTAGGTTTATTTCCTGATAATTTTGTTGAAGTATTAAATGTTCTACCTGATCACCAAGATCATGAACAAAAACTTAAAGCTCCTATTAAGTCTGTTTCAAAACATTCTCATCAGGTAAAGAAGAATGGAAAAACACACATTAAAAAAACTTTGGATGTAAAAGATGTACCTACAGGTATTTGATCTCTTCTTTTTAACTATCTAAAATTATGAAAATTTTTATTATGAAAATCATATGTAAGATATTTATTTTTTTTTTAACTGGTGAGATATTTTTACCATAGATATAACTAAAAAAACAATATCAACAGGCGTATCTTCTACAACATCAACTTCTTCAGGAATTGGAGGAAATAGTGGAGAAAGGAAAAATATAGGTGGATATTCAGCTACATCGAATTTAAAACGTCTCGTAGGTGATGCGGGAACTAATAATGGTAATGGAAATACAAATATAGCTTTGGGTGAAGAGTTAGATGGGGTAGAACGAGGAGAAGGAGCACCGCTTTCGCATTTAACAGCTTCTAGAGCTAAAGCACCCCACCGACGACCACCTTCTTCACAACGTTTAAGACGTCACGCTGCCGGACCAACAATTACTACAACACCTGTTAGTGTTTTTGGCACTAGTTTAATATCTAATACATATATTAATCACCATTTAAAATATTTGTATTTCTTAAAATATATAATATATTATTTATATAATATAGGAAGATAGTTTAGCAAATGGTAATGCAGATACTATGTTAGAACAATTACGAGAAGAAGAACCTGAAGGATTAGCTGTAAAAGCAAGAAGAAGAGCTCCTTGGGTAATTTAATATATTTTATTTTTAAATTTATCAATATTATATTTCTATTTTATTAATAAATTCATTTACAGATAGATTTTATAATAATAATTATAATAATAGATATTATTTCTTTAATTATATAAACTCATAATTTTTTATATTATTATTTCTAGGTAGAAGAATTAAAATTAAATCAATTGGAAAGGAGAAAAATTGTATCAGTAGATCGTGTTGATAAATCTGAAGAAAAAAAAGAACGTCCTTGTTCACGGTAAAATAATAATCGTTTTAATAAAAATCAAAATTGTAAAAATAATAAAAATCATTTTTTTTTAAATTAATGCAAAAAACAATAGACAATACAATATAATATGCAATATACAATATAAATAATATTACAATTATTAAATAATACAATATATAACATATATAATATAAACAAAACAAACTTGAATATTTTAATAGATTTAGTATATTTTTTAATTAACTTATGTTTTTAATTTTAATTCAGAGTATTAACGACAACGAATGTCGCCGATTGTATTAATAAATTAGAAGCAGAAAGCGAAGAAAGTAAACAAAAGGATAAAAGTCAAAATCAGAAATCTGATTCATTTCCACATCTTGAACAAACTTCAACTACTCCTGGAACGCCTCCTACTTATGTTCCATTTGCACTTTATAATCAATTATTAGAAAGGGTAAATGTATTAAAAATTGTTTAAAATTATTAACTAAACTAAAAACTATAAAATTATTAATATGTTGAATGCTGCACTTCATATTATATGAATATTATATGATTTGCCCAAGGCAATTCATAACAATCATGAATTTATTGTTATGTGATATTATATATAATATAGTAAAATATTATTTACAACATTAAGTTGAATTTACATAATAATTGAAATATAATTATATTTTATATTATTAAAAGTAATCTCCCATACAACAAGTTGTGGAATAATCATTGGTGATTTTCATGGCATTCAATATGTTAACTAACTAAATTAAATTATTTGTTATATGAACATATCAATTTATAATATTTAATATATTTTTTTAAATTATAATTATTAATTAAATCAAATTATAAATAGGTTGTTGCCTTAGAAGAGAAACAAGCAATGTTACAACAAACAATGGGCCAAATTTTAGAACAATTTGTACCTGTTGCATCTTCGTCAATCAACAGCCCAGATTAATCAACTCATAAATTTTGCAGTATGTTTTTTCCATATAAAATGCTGCTATTTTAATTTCATTTTCCATACAAACAATATGGAAGAATAGTTTATAATTACTGTATAATTCTTATATTTATTCGTTTTAGTAGCGGCATTTTTAATTTGTTTCGCTATTGTAGTAACAGTATTTATTTAATTTGACTAAACAGAATATTCCATATATCATTCCTGACTTAAAAAAATTTTTTTTTTATGATAATTTACTTTATTGTATTGTAAGTACTTTATTTAGTACTTTGATTTTATTTTTAGTAGCATTTAAATGTTTTTAAGATATATGTAATATACACTTTTCAAATTGTCCTATAATTATAAAAAATTATTAGTTCATTACTTAATTAAGGTAAACTTACAACATATTTTAGTAATGAATACCTGATATAAACATATATAGAGATTTATTTTAAAGCATTTTCATGTTTTAAAAATTAATATATCGTTCTGATATACATATTTCCTTAAATTACATCTCATAACTATAGAAGTATATTTGTACTTAAATTGCTAAATTACACAAACAAATAGAGACTATACATTTTATATTTTTATTGAAAAGCTGCCTCGCATTACAACATAATAATAATTATTCTTAAGTTCATCAAATAACTTAAGTGCCAATATATTTAATTTTTCTTTGCATAATTTTATAATTCTGTTATAAAAACGTTAACAGTATTGAGTTTCAAGAAATAATACATTAAAAAAGTATTGAATGTACCTATTTCAAATGAAATAAGTTTAATATAATAGCTTGGAATGGTGCTATATAATAAATATTTGTGATACTTTATATCACGTATTATAATATACTAAATGAGGCAGCAAACTATGAATAATAATTTTTATCCTAAATAAAAAAGTGAAAAAATACATTAAAGCTCACTTTAAAAAATTACATATTAATAACTTTGTTCCATATAATCACGAAACTGTTGAATATTTGAAATCTTTTTATTTTTTTAAATAAACAAAATTTAACAAAAGTATAGGATGATATTATTAAAAATATATGAAATAAATACAAACAAAACAATATTTAATTTTTTACATCAGTATTTGATGAAATATACTTAACCTTTCATCTAAAAAAAAAAAAAAAAAAAAATAGCAAGCCAATTATAATCACATTATTTCAGATCATATGTTAGCTATGTGCGAATATGTAAATATCTAATAATATAAATGAATTAAAGAAAATAATAAATTCCTATAGTAATTTGCAATTTAGCTGCTATATATATCAGCTTAAAAATTCTAGTCTGATACAAACAGATTGCAGTGATTATAGGATTGAAGTGCCAGGGCCAATGAAACTAATACTGTCACTATGAATGTCATTGTTAATAAGTATATCTTTCAAAAAGTAATGATTTCATTTTTCTTTTCAATTCATTTCAAATAATTTTTTTCTTTTTTAATAAAAGAACTTTCAATACAAACTTTTTCTAAGTAAATATATTTAATGTTTATAAAATCTTAAACATTATGCATTCAAATTATTATATCAATATTACTATTTAAAAATATTATGTATTTATATAATTTTAGTTTACAATTCAATTAAAAATTATATCATTACATTTTGAATGATATTTAATGTAATATATAAAGTAGAATATTAGTATTGTATAAAATTTTTACACATTTCAGCTGAATGTAGCTTATTTAAATGAAATATAATTATAATTGAGTGGAGTGAAATAATTTCATATAAAATATAAAATATTTTCTTTTTATAAATAAGAAAAAATATTAGAAATTGTTAAATTTTGGTAATTATATTTGTTTGTTTGTTTTATCATCAAATTTATTTGTCATAATTATTATTATTATTACTATTATTATTATTATTATTATTATTAATATTATTATTATTATTATTATTATTATTATTATTAT